CCCCCCCCCCCCCCCCCCACACACACACGTTTTTCGCCTGTAATGTTATGCTAGTAGGCTTCAACTATGCCAGAGGGGTTCCAATCATTTGAACTGGAGATTTGAATATTAGGCATTGATTTCCCATAGTAGCACTACAAGATGGAGACAAACAGAGACAGAGTGGATGGTCAGAGTGACCTCCACTTTGAAGATAGAGGTCAGACCTTTAAATTAATTTGTCAGTCTTAAAAGGCAGAAGTAATGTTTGTTGATATATGTAAAGGGTGTGTTTCTGCGTCTTTATACGGTATGTGTCTGTGCACAACCCTGGATCTGAAGAGAAAAAAACTATTTTTACTCAACATATTTTAGTCTAATTACAATATATTACCTAAGCAGAAGTCAATACAGGTTATATGTTGATGGAAAAGAAAGAGGAAATGGTGATTACTCAAACAATTCTGTCCAGCATTAGTCAGCCCGTCCTGCATTTAAGCCCACAATGAGATCAGCACAGCTCCAAATCAAAATGTTTGTGGTGACTTGTAAATTCCAGTGATATAACTCACAGGAAACTGCAGTCATCTAAAGGAGACAGAAAGAGAATTTTATCTGAGAGAGTTGCTGTAAGGTCATGCGGTTCGGAGAGAGAATTTATTTTCCCTGTTGTGTATTTCTGAGCAGCACTGTATTGTGGTTGGTGGATTTTTTTTATCCCTGGGTTAGATTAATACCAACTAGAGGAAACATTTCCATGTGTACACTGGTTCTGTGGCGTTTGAGCCAAAAGAGGCGGTCGGGTGGGTTTCCACTGGGTAATGTTGCCTGCTTTCATAACTGAGTGTGTGTGTGTGTGTATGTGTGTGTGTGAGGAACGCTGCTGTGGGACTTTACAATCACTGAGTCATTAGGTGGAGGTGGATGCTGCTTTGTGACAAAACTTCTTAAAAGCATCATGAATAATAGATGCTGATGAAACAGGCATGAGCACCCTGTTCAATACAAGGTTAATGAATCCCACATTAACGCAAATAAATGCTAACACAAATACACAATCACAAACACATTGAGCTATACAAAATATCCATCTAATCCTCCACAGTAATTGAACAGAACATAATTGTGTTCAACTGTGTGGGTAAGCAGGCACTACACAAGCCTTGAAAGGTTTTCATTATCTGCGTATGCTGGGGTGATAGGGTTAGATGTGTGTGGGTTGCGAAAGGCTTCATTTGAGTAGATTCTGAAGTAAATTCCCTTTTTATTTTACATCATTAAGATTTGATAAACTTCATTGATTTCCAGGGAGGAAATTGAACTGTTGTGGGGGGCAGTTTGTAAAAGCTATTAAAAGCCTTGAAAAAGTTCTCTCAATCAGCATATTTCACAGGAGAGATTTTCTGTATATTTATAGTTTTGTCCAGGCTCTCCTCAATGGTTTAAAGTGGGCGGGACTTGGAAAAAAAGTGATGTCATGTTTAAGCATCTCTGCCAATCCCGATTTAGCCACATTTGAAAATGACAGATGTGTTTGCTTATGTGGCCAAACCACCACGTTTAGAAAAGCAAGAATATGTAACTTTAGAAAGAAAAACTACAACAACAACATTCTTCTTCCTACAAATGTAAAGTTTAATTGGTATGGTGGCTAATGTTATCTAATGATAGCAAAGGTTGGATGGATGTTGCGATGTAACTATTTTTAGAGGCTTTAAAATAAATGAATTTATTTAAATTGATGCAATAGAGCTGGTGTTCAGTATGCAAGATATTTAATGTTGTGGCCTTTCTACAAAAACAAGTATTGGTATACTTATTGCACATTTGGTTTTGAAGAAAGTCTCCAAAAGGCTCTTTTGCAGCACAAACATGTCATATCTTACCCCAAACCAGTCTTCTACTTATAGAGGCTGGTGGCCAAAGATAACACGTTATACATAACCTGTTAAAAGCATATTTAATGTAAAGAGGACTTTGTTTGACTGTTATGTCATATACTGCAACTACTGTTCCCTCCCTGAGCTTACATCCCTCCTGTTAAACACGTTTTACAGAAAACAAGACACAACAGGTCTAGTCAGGATCTCATACTGTATAGCCTCAAGCTCAGGCACCAACCGCAGCAACCGTTATTCTAAATGCAAATGAGAACCTCTGCTTAACCAACAGAGCTGCTGCTGCTGAAATGTGCTTAATAAAAGTTTTAGGGAAACATAAAATAATCCATTTATTCTGGGCTCCTGAGAGGTGACCCAGGTCCCTAGTTCCCAAATCAGTGATTGTGTTTTAATTGGCTATTTGGCCACAAGCCTCTGCTGCCTATTCGCACCCACAGTGCCATTCATCAATTGTTGATTAGGTGTCTCCTGCCTCTGTAGTGAAGGCCTGTGTGTCTGGACTCATCATTCAGTCATTACCTCGCTGCTGATACAGCTAAAAGAAATACTGTGTGTTTGAAATAACTGGTTGCAGGTACAAACTGATGTTCACCATCCATTTCTTGTTTCAAAGTAGCTGCATATATCTCAGTAAGTCTTTTTTTTAATTTAGATGGTAGGCTATATCTTTGCATATTTAGAAACATCCAGTATTTCATATGATAAATCTAAAATGTACAAAATAGTGAAAAATGACATCACAATTCCCTAAAGCCTTAAATGTCTCGATTACAACCAGAAATGTATTCCTTTAGTAGCCATTTCCTTGAGATCTTCACTGTTGGGTGTCCCTCAAACAGGCCAATGCATTTCCCACAGGAGGGAAGTACATCATGTCACTTTGATAACAGTCATTTCTTTCATTGGATCTGGTTAACGCCCACAGACATATCATTTACTGTACATCAGTAGCCTCTTTATACATTACCCACCAGGTGTCAGTAGCCTACTTGCCTTTCTGCTCTAATGTACTGTATGCCGCAAACGCAGACAAAAGATACGCATGAGTCCCCCAGTATTTCTACTTGACAAGGCATAAAATAAGCAAAAAGATGTTGCCACAGCACATAAACATCAGACCTGCAACCAAACTTTAGTCCCATCCCATTCATGTCTGCATCACTCCTTAAACACATTTGCTTCTTTCCAACACAGCTCCTCTCCAACACAGCTCCTCAAATAACTGAATTGTACTGACCAATGTTTTCTTTCTAAGCACCATCACTGACACCAGGACCCGAGGAAGAAATCTAAACAGAGAGGGATGCTTTGATCAATGCCCTATTTTTCCTTCAGAAGCAAAAGAGGCGGAGGGAGATGCACGGGAGAGACAGACAGAGAGGGAGGGAGGCGGTACTAAGTGTCCTCCAGTCATCCTCTCAACTCCCCCTGTTCATTAGTATGCTGCATTTGAACGGAGGCAGACAGGAGAGGAGATCAGTGACCGGTCACAAATGATTTCACAATTAATATGAGGAGATTATAAAACCAAGGACCTTAAACCTCTGGATTCCCCCGCACTGGATATTTTCTTTTATTGAGTCGTTTCGGAGTAATTATTTCTCTTTAAGGTTGATCTTTTGCCAGTAACGGTCCTTTTTTTCCCCCACCCCAGCAATCATTAAAACCATACCTGGCACAGGTCTCATGTAGTCTGCCTTTCCTCGCTTCTGCAGATAGCGAGCTCAATAGAGAATACCTCTTAGCTATACAAAAAAATGTGATTCCTTGCGCTTCCCATGAGGTAGCCAAGCCCAGTCGTTGGCATCTGAAACAGCTGGGTCGTGTCGAGAAGATTGTGGATTAACGTTTTTTTTTTCTCCCCCCTCTCTTTTACCCGAATATCTCCAAGAAACCCCGGACGTCTGTTTTACAGTGGCTGCCAGCCAAAATGAGCGTCGATTTAATTGTATCAGCTACATGAGTGGAGCCTAAACAAACGCATCTTTCTCCCAAAGAGCGCACTGGTGTTTTTCTTTTTTTTCCATATCTGCTGAAATAAACGGCGCCAGTTGCCCTGGAAAATATGGAAAGTGAGGTTTTCACCCCACTGCTGGAGCAGTTCATGCTCACGCCTCTAGTCTGCTGGGTAAGCTTCCCAATTAACAATTCAAATGTGTCTTTAAGCTCACTAATTAAACACCTCTGCCCTGTAAAAGCATTTATTTCAAGTGTTTATTGATCTTAACACCTACTTGCATTGTCCCGTTTATTTTTCAGGTGAAGACAGTCGGGCAGCCGACGGTGGCCGACGGCACCAAATTATCGGAATATATTGAATTAGTGGATGGGATTTACCTGAACGAGATCATGCTTGAGATGTAAGTAATTTGACACAGATTCCGAAATGTCTCGCCAGTCCGCCTGTCCCCTGCACCACCTTCAGTGGAACAGGATTGGCTAAATGAGGGCATGCAGAGTAGATCTTTGCTTGGGACCTCAAACGCCCCATGTTAATAGATGAATGTATGCCTTAAAAACATAATATTGCATTAGCTTTAAGATATATGAGTAGATATATATATGCAGTTTGTTCTCCTGCCTCTGTCCGGCGCTTGAATTTGTGTGCTGGAGTGAATGTAGGCTAAGCACAAAGGGACCTTGTATTGGGGGCAATGATGGGTCACACTGTCAGAAATCTTTGCAGACAGTTATTGTTAGGATCCCTTGGTGCAAGGAGACAGTGGGCAGCTCCACAACTTCCAGTTGTAATGTTTTTTCAGCCTCCCTAGACTGTCATCTGCAGCAGACTGGAAGATACCCCGCCCCTGGAAGCTACAGCACTCACGTTTCCTGCTGTGCTGCAGATTAAACTAGAAATAGTAGCCTTAAGCAGAGTGACACTGGTAGCGGTGCAGAATCTGGATGCAGATTACCCAGCAGTGCAGATCCTTCTTTAATGTAGCAGGCCAGCACAGGCCCACATTTGTTTTTATTCAGTATAAAGGGAAGTAGATGCTTTGGCAGATCTCTTGATAGTGAGAGGGGGTGGATGCTGGAGAAGATGAGGCATTAGATGTCAAATCCGTCCATCTTTCCAGTCACCTCCTAACATATAGCATGACAGGACACAGCTTCCCATTCCTTTGTCTGGCTGAAGGCTGCTACTTTCCACTAGCAGGGCATTTTTTCATATTTTCCACTAATGCCACACTCTACACTGTCAGCATTTACTCCTCCTTTTTGCCTGTCAAAGGAGCGTTCGACCAGGCCCGCTCCCTGTGGAATTGATTTGCACCTCACAAGAGATTATGTGTGTGTGTGCACTTTCATAGGGCAATTTCGTGTCACCCTGCTTCAGTATGTTTTGTATTCCAAGGTTGGGTAAGGGGAAGCTTGTCTTTTGAAGTCTTTCGAAGTCTTTCTTTGTATTTATATGTGCAGAATATACAACCGCAATATAGTTGTCTGTGTCAATTGTGTTTAGAAGTTTTGCCCTATAACACTGTCGCATCAGGAGATGATTAACCCCAACTGGCTGTTTCCTGTCTATGCTTGGGGTCCTCTTCCTCCTGCTCTGCCCTCTTCCAGTGTCCTCTATCTCCCACTGCTTAGCTGCATCACCCCACTAAGCTGCCTACCTTCAGATTTTGCAACTCTTTTCCATGCTTGTTTCTCCTCCTCCGTCTCCAGGCAGCATGTACACTCTCAGAGGAATCCTTCAAAACATAAAGGTGTTTAGAGAGGCCATTGCAGCTTCAGTTGGACAGGCATCTTTCCTCTTCCACACAAAACAAGGAACAAGTCATCAGTATTTTTAGAGCATTTTATCCCTTTGGGACATTGTATAGTGGAAAGCAGCCGGAAAGGATATGAGGGGGAAGGGTTGGATGAGTGAGTGAGACAGAAAACCAAAATTTTAGTTACCAAAATGGTTAAAAACCTTAAACATAACAGGGAAGAAAGAGCAAGTTGGTGACAAAAAGCCCTGTTTTGACTAGCCACATGGCAACTCCTTAGCTGTACGTGTTCAGACTGAGATGTTTGACCAGGCAGGTACTCTGTAAGATTTCTGTCTGCAAATAAATGGAATGAGCTGGATGGAATTTTCTGTGGTTGGTTGAGTACTCTTGTAGAGAACAGCCAGCGTAGAGCTGAAATGAACTGTGACTGGCTTAGTGATCGCCTGACAGGATGTCGGGGATTGCCAGTCACAGCCAGCCCTGTGTGTATATATGTGTGTTTGTGTGTCCTTTCTGCGGGGCTTGTGTGTCTGCGTGGTAGTATGTGTATCTGTGGGTTTTTTTTCTTCTGTGCATTTTTTTTTTGGACTGAGGCAGCTGTTGATAGTCGTCTTGCCCAGCCACCCTCCCACACAGAAGGCCTACAGTATTGGTCAGATGTTATGTTTGTGAGACTGCTCTTTGTCTGCCTCACTCACTTTACCAGCACAACGAGGTCACGTCCAGTAGGCTCAGCTAACTAAAATGGACTGTATCATAATGTATGTTACAGTTCACCCATTCAGCTATTGCAGCAGGGTGTTTTGGGTGATTGTGCCTGTCAAAGACTTAACATGATTTAATTCAGCATTAAAAGACAGAAATGTAGTTGAAACAAGGTATATGGTCCAAAGTTTGTTCACATTGAAGCTGTGTGGTGGCTGGAATAATTACATGGGTGTTTATTAATGCCTCTCTTCATCTCTTTCTTACACTGTTACTTTCATTAAAAGTAGCTTAGAGACCACAGGTGAGTTTTCCAACGTTTGTAGGCGATGATTAACAGGGATTGTATTTGTTCCAATTCTTGGCCTCCCACAAACAATCTCTTGTGTATCGTTTTGTAAAGTGTGTGTGTGTGTGTGTGTGTGTGGGGAATGCTGCCCCCAGTTCTGACAGCTTGAAATGTATTGTAGTGAGTATTAGGTATTAGTTGGTGTTGCGCTGCTTGCGATTGATCCAGTGGTGCGAAAAGGCTCCATTGGTGTTAGCCTCCAGCCAGTAGCTGTTGTTTACACTGAAAAAACACTTCAGCGCTGATAACACTGCCACCGAAGACCATGTTCTCTGCAGCGAAGAAACACACTCGTCTTCCAGAGTGGTTGATAAAACTCCAAAGATACAGACACACACATTAGTAGATGAAAGTCAGCGTTGACTGATGTGTGCGTGATTTTGTTCAATTTTTTTTTCTCTTTCTCTCTCTCAAACTCACACTCGCAGTACTCTGTAGAAACTTGAGCTTTTAACACTTTTGCTGGTGATGTCAGCTGTTGTAGTCTGAAGCTGCGGTTTTGCTGTGTGAATGTCTCTGAATGGCCTCAGTGAAGACATGGCAGACAGGCTGGCAGCAGTTGTCATCGGGACAGCATGGGAGTGCATAGAGAGAGAAAAATAGAGACCCCAGGATTATCTAACGGTTTGCTGACACCCAGATGGCACCACGTCCCGTCCCCCCTCCCCCCTTGCCCTCTTGTGACTGACATTACCTAGCCAATTAGATTGCCTCCTCAGTGCTGTCAAACCAATTAGTTTTCCCGCTCAGCAAGAGGGGGCCAATTACATTTTTGTCAGAGTGACAACTGTCCAGTTGAATTCTCTGTTTTCCTGCCAATCCCCTAGACCCGTGCTGGCTCATTGGCCTATTCAGTGAACCAGTCAGTCTGTCCTCTATGGGCTGCTGGGACAGTTATTTGAGTAAGACAAACAGGAATAAAATGGGGTATTTTATGAGCCCTGCTTGATTTTTACATAACATTTGTCACGCTGACTGGCACGAGTTATGTTGTCTTTTTTAAGAACTGCACTTTGCGCTGTATAATCGTGTGACCTAGCTTTAACCCTGAAAATTAGTCGACAAACTGTCTGAATGCTAATTCAGGGGAAGAAAGTGCAAGTATAGTATCTGGATTACAAAGAGAATGCTGTTCAGCATGTTGTACAGGTTAATGTTTCTGTTGACTTGAGTATTCAGACAGATCCATGCATGTCTGTAAATGTCTGAATGGCTGCACACATGGGAATGGGGGAGAGGATAAATAAGGTAGCTATCATCTTTTTTTTTTTTTTGCAGATAATCCAGACAAGGTTGCTTGCCAGTGGTTGTCTATCATAAAATAGAATAAAATAAGGCCAGATTACAGTAAATCAATCGTGTAGGCTGACAGGATGAAGTCCTCAATATGCCTGTCATCACTTCCTTTCATGCATACACAAACACACTCAGAACTTGACCAGTGAGCTTTATAGGAGCGTTTCAGTTTGGAGAGACAACACTGAGTGACGAGTGTTGGTTCATGCCCTGGACCCAGTTGGTCTTTTGTGGAAAATGTCTTTTGTTGTCTCAGATGCAGATTCTCTCTCTAATTGTTGTACTAACATGTGGAAGCTACATTATACTTGTGCTATGCTTTTTATGGGTTTTGGGCTTTAGTAGAATATTCTGAGGTTGGACAACCATCTGGCAACATTTTATTATTACAGGCAGAATTTAGAAAATGCCTCATACAAAGAAACCTATGAGTCAGCACTACTCCAGTTTTTTATTTCAATTTCACATCCATCTATTTAACTGTTTTTGAACTGTTTTAGAAGTGTCTTTGCTGCTTGGGTGATAACGGGGGGAAAAAAAATTAAGACGCAGTATCCATCTGGGAAAAAGAATCATGTTTAAGTGGCCATTTTAGTAATCAAGCATTTGGTATGATCTTACAAAATAAAAAATCTAAAGTGTCTGTAATATGCCATTTCCCACATTTCACTGACCACTAATTCAATGGGCGTAGAACATCTTTAACACCATGAAAAGGTGGTCTTTCTTTTACAATATGATTGTTTACTGCAATGATTAATCAATTAGTTGATCAAAAGAAAAGGAATCTGCAACTATTTTCTTAAACTTAACTTACTTAACTTAAAATTTATTGTTTTAGTCATTTTAGTGACATTTGCTGCTTCCATCTTCTCAAATGTAAGAATTTGCTTATTTTCTTTGTCATGTAAATGAAATATATATATAATATATTATATAATTATATAATTGGCAGATTATTAGCAACATTAATAAAAGAAACCTTGCAGCACCAGATTGGACTATTCTTCCTGTCCTAACCCTCATGTTTTCCCTCTCCTTTAACTCCTCTCCTCCTGTCTGCCATCCTTATTTTTCATCATGTCTCAACACCTACTGTACCTCTTTCTCCCATCCCTCCTTCTGTGAGAGTCTCTTTTTCCTTCATCTCCTTTTCTGTCTGTGCCACTGATCTCCTGCTCTCTCTCCCCTCTCCCTCCCCTGTTTTCTTTGAGAGGAAGCTTTTGTTGGCTTTCTCTAGGGCTAGTTACAGCAGACATAGTTGGGATTCCTGCTGGAATAGAGAAAT